TGAATATCTTGCATATCACTATAGAAGCTTCATCTGGCGATGGATGGAGATAGAGACAGAGACCCACACTGGAGCACTGGACTTAGCTCCCAAGGTCCAAATGAGGAGCAGAAGGAGGGAGAACATGAGCAAGGAAGTCAGGACCACGAGGGGTGCATCCACCCACTGAGACGGTGGAACTGATCTAATGGGAGCTCACCAAGGCCAGCTGGAGTGGGAGTGATGGAGCATGTAATCAAAATGGACACTCTGAATGTGGCTGGCAATGAAGGCTGACTGAGAAGCAAAGGACAATGGCACCGGATTTTTATTCTACTGCGTGGACTAACTTTGTGGGAGCCTGGTTTGTTTGGATGCTCACCTTTATAGACCTGGATGGAGGGGGGAGGACCTTGGACTTCCCACGGGTCAGGGAACCCTGACTGCTCTTAGGACTAGAGAGTGATGGGGAGCTGGGAAGAGGGAGGGGAAAGGGAGGCGGGGAGGAGGTGGAAATTTTAAATAAATAAATAAATAATTAATTAAAATTAAAAAAAGAAGATATCTCAAAACAGCCTAGTATAGAATCTATTGTAAGGATATTAGTGGTAATTCTAATGAAAATTTATAATGAAAACGAGCACCCTGAGCTGATTAAATTACAGCATGTAAATTTTGATTAGAAAATGAGTACCAGAAAGTAGAATAGAGCTTATTCCTATGTTCAAGGAGATAAACAGATTAAGAAATGAAATGAATGGACTACATATGTCAGGGTAAGATCATACTCGTCTATGTTTCCAATTTGTGCAAAAGAATTAAAGAAAAGCTTAGAGCTATTTGCATTCTTTTACATACTATTATCCACTTATGCCAGGACTATTCGTAGAAGATGCATTCTTTTTCCAATTTATATTTTTGGCTTCCTTGTCAAAATCAGGTGTTCATAAGTATGTGGATTTATTTCAGGGTTTTTGATTCAATTACATTGATCTACATATCTATTTTTATGCCAATATCAAATTGTTTTTATTAGTATAGCTTTAAAGTAGCAGTTGAAGTCAGGGATAGCTCCAGAAGTTTTTTTATTATGCAGGATTGTCTTAGCTAAAATGGGGTTTTGTTTTGCCTATATGAAGTTGAGTATTGTTCTTTCCAGGTCTGTGAAAAAATATTTATGGATTTTGATGGTGATTTCATGGAATTTGTAGATTGCTTTTAGTATAATTTTCATTTTTACTATGTTATTTCTACTTATCCATGAACATGGGAGATTTTTCCATTTTCTGATCTCTTCCCCAACTTCGTTCTTCAAAAACATAATTTTTTGTCATATAGGTGTTTCACTTGTTTGGTTAGAGTTATCCAGGATATGTTGCATTACTTATGGCCACTGTCAAAGGTGGTGTTTTTCTGATTTCTGTCTTAGTTTCTTTATCATTTGTATATACGAAGGCTGTTAATTTTTTGGATTAATTTTGTATTCTTTCACATTACTGAAGGTATTTATCAGCTATAAAAGTTCCCTGATAGAATTTTGGGGGTCACTTTTATATACTATCATTATCTACTAAAGTGAAAGTTTGACTTCTTCCTTTCCAATTTGAATCCTATTGATTTTTGTGGCTTTATTGCTCTAGCTACAACCTCAAGGACTATACTGAATAGATATGGATAGAGTAGAAAGCCTTATTCTTGATTTTAGTAGAATCACTTTGAGTTTCACTGTCTAGTTTGACGTTGGTTGCTGTAGATTGCTTTTATTATGCTTTCGTATGTTCCTTCGATTCCTGATCTTTCCAAGACCTTTATCATTAAAAGTTGCTGAATTTAGTCAAAGGCCTTTTCATCACCTAATGAGATGATTATGTTGGCGTTTTTTTTTTCTTTCAGTTTGTTTATATGGTAGATTACATTGACAGATTTTCATATGTTGATTTATCCTTTCATCTCTGGGATGAAGTCTACTTGTTCATGGTGGATGATTTCTTTGCCAGTAGAAGAATGCAAATAGATTCATGTCTATCACCCTGCACAAAACTCAAGTTCAAGAAGATTAAAGTTCTCAAAATAAGACAACTCACACTGAAACTAAAAGAAGAGAAAGTGTGAAGTAAGTTTGAACACATGAGCACAGGAGAACACTTCCTGAATATAACACTAGAAGCAGAGACACTGATTTCAATCATTATTAAATGGGACCTCCTGAAACCAAAAAGCTTTAGTGAGGTAGAGGACAAAGTCAATAAGGTGAAGTGACAGCCTACAGAATGGGAAAAGACTTCCAGTAACCTGAAAATCTGACAAAGTACTGATATTTAAAACATGAAGAACTCAAGAAACTAGACATCAAATTATCAAATAATCCCATATAGATGGGATACAGCTATAAACAGAGAATTCTGAGCAGAAGGATCTCTAAAATAGCTGAGATGCACTTAAAATATGGCTCAACATTGTTAGCTATTCAGGAAATGTAAATTGAAATGACTCTAATCTACCATCTTACAACTGTCAAAATGGCTAAGATCAAAAATGTTAAAATGACAGCCTGTGTTGGAGAGGATGTAGAATAAGGGAAAATTTCTTCATTGCTTGTGAGAGTGAAAACTTGTTTAGTTGCTTTGGTAATCAGCTTGGAATTTTCACAGAAAATTTGAAAATCAATCTTCCTAAAGACCCTCTTGCACATATTCAATCATAGCACAAGGACACTTCTTCAGCTCGGTTCATAGTGATATTATTTGTAATAGCCAGAACCTGGAAACAATTTAGATTATCCTAAAATAAAGAATAAAAAAGTGCTACATTTACAGATTAGATTATTACTGAGAGGGATAAAAATCCAATGACATCATGAAAGTTGCAGACAAATGGATGAAACTAGAAAATATCACCTAGACTCAAAAAGATGAACACAGTATGTATTCACTTATAAGTAAATACTAGATGTAAAGCAAAGGATAACCAAGTTATAACACTCAATTTCAGAAATTCCAGGTAACAAGGAGGATCCTAAGAGGGAAGAATGGATCTCTTTGAGGAATAACTAGATAAGATATCCTGGGCAAACTAAGTGTGGGAGAGAGAGGGGAGGAGATTGGGATGGGAACATAAAGGCTAAGAATGATTGAGGGAGTGACAAGGTGGAGGGGGGAATAATGAAAGATATATCTTTATAGAAGTGGTCATTATGGTCTTAGAGAGAAATCATATGACAGGGAAACTCCCAAGAATTCATGAGGATGACCCCAACTAGGACACATAGCAATACTGAAGAGGGTGCCTCAACTTTCCTTACCTTATAATGAGATTGGTGACTACCATCATTGTCATCACAGAGCCTTCATCCAGTCACTAACAGAAGCAGATGCAGAGATCCTGAACCAATCCCTAGACTGAGCTTCAGAAGTTCAATTGAAGAGAGTGAGGAAGGATTATATGAACAAGTAGGGTCAAAATATTGGGAAACCCAAAAAGACATTGATCTCAGCTTGTAGGAGCTCATAGGCCCTGGATCAACAGCTAGGAAGTATTCATGGGACCAACCAAGCCCTCTACATGAAGGTGACAGTTACTAAGCTTGGTGATTTGTGGGATTTCAATCAGCAGAGCCAGAACCTGTCCCTGATGCATGATCTTGCTCTTTGGTATCTATTTCCTATTGATTCACAGAGGAGGAGCTTAGTTTTGACTCAATTTGATATGTCTTGCTTTGTTACCTCCCATGGAAGGTCCTACACCTTTTGAAAAAAAAGTGGAGGAGGAATGGAACATGGAGTAAAAGTAGAAGGAAGGTGAGCGAAGGGAATGGGAAAAGATGAGGGAAGAGAAACTGTGGATGGTATGTAAAAAACAAAACAAAACAAAACTTAGATCTAAGAGTAGTGGACTATACCTTTAATTCCAGTACTAGGAAGACAACAGCTAACAAATCTTTGAGTTTAGTCCAGCCTGTTTTCTGGAACAAGTTTAAGGAAGTCAAGGTGTTAAAGACAGAAAACTGCTGAAGATGTAGTTGAATGAGGGGACCATGTTCCAGTTCCAGGAATCAGAAGAACATGGCAAATTTGTCCACATGATTCTGGATTTAGAGTTAAGGACAGAAGAAAGGAGTTATGGAATAAAGCCACTGAAGTTAGGCATGTGTTTCTGGTGTCTCTGAACGGAGGCCATATAGAGAGACCATCGTGTGAAGCTGGGAAATTGGAGCCTGTACTGCCTTGGAGAATTCAAAATATTAGAGATGCCAGAGTAATTCCTTAGATGTTAGAGATGGCAGAATTATGGGCTACCTGACATGGAGGGCTACTAATACGTAGTGGAACTAGCCCAAGATCAAGAAGTATGTTGTAAGCAACAAAGCTCAACAGAGATGGATATTTAAAGAGATTGTTGAAATTAGTCATGGAGTTGCAGAGTTTAGAGTTTGGCCAGCTGGTTTTCTTTTCATTTTTTTTCTCTTTGTAGCTTTGGGGCCTTACCTAGAGTTCTGAAACTAGCTCTTGTAGACTAGGCTGGCCTCGAACTAACCAAGATATGCCTGCCTCTGCCTCCTGAGTGCTGGGATTAAAGGCATGCACCACCATTGCTTGGTACCCAACTGATTTTCAGTCTTGCTTTTGTCTAGTATTTCCTCATTTTGTCCCTTTCTTTTTGCTTTTGAGTGGTAATGTGTATCCTGTGCTATTATATGTTGAAAGCATGTAATCAGATTTTTAATTTTTAATTTTACAGGAATATTACAGTTAAGATAAAGCCATGCATCTCAGAAGAGACTAGACTTAGAAACAAGTCTGAGATTGTTAAAGACTATAGGGACTTTTGAAGTTGGACTGGATATATATATTTTTTGCATTATGTTAAGGCTATAAGCCTTGTGGGGCCAGGGAGTAGAATGAGGTTCTTTGAAAGAAAATGGCCCAGAAAGGTAGTGGCACTGTTAGGAGATGTGACCTTGTTGGAGAAAGTGTTTCACTGTGAGGGTGAAACTTTGAGCTTAGAGGCCTCTTTTGCTCAACTTTCTAGCATGACTGTTACTCGATTTTCTGTTGCCTCTGAGTGAAGATCTAAGACTCTCAGCTCCAGCATCATGTCGCCATGCTCCCCACCGTGTTTCCCATCATGAAGATAATGGACTGAACCTCTGAAACTGTGAGCAAACCACTTCATTTAAATGTTTTTATTTACAAGATTTATTATGGGTATGGTATTATTCCACAACAACAAAACTCTAAGGCTTTGCCTACATTATAATGTAAAGTAAGTTCTGCTCAATTTAAAAAATGTTCACATTTATCAACAATTTAGAACCAACATTTTAGAAGTGCCTTAACTCTGATTTCATGTAACATACAAAAGAAGTTTCAAGCGTCCAACATATGTAATGACAAACAGTCAATATTTTTATTTCAAAAGGAAAGAATTGAAGTGAAGGATAGAACGATGAGAATAAAACACAATGAAGATCATTCAAGGCAAACACAAAAACCTATAGCTATATTTGTAGCACCTGTGATTTATGATAAAAATTGAATGTATTTTTTTTTGAAAGTAATTTTATTAAATTATGAAAGTTTCCATTTCCGCCCCTCTTCCCAACACCCTCCCACTCCCCCCACTCCCTCTCCTCCTCCCTCTTCATCCCTTAGGGCAGTCAGGGTTTCCTGCCCTGTGGGAAGTTCAAGTTCCTCCCCCCTCCCTCCAGGTCCAGAAAGGTGAGTATCCAAACAGACTGGATTTTGGGGATCCAGTCTGTTTGAATGTATTTTAAAGAGCTGACTCACCCTGTTCCTTCAGTTCTGCCACCACGTTTATCACCCACAGCCTGGGATGGATCTGGAATGGATTGATTCTATGGCCTAGCCACTTTCCCCAGATGTCACAGTTTTATCTTATCCTAGTGTCTCTAATATTATGCTATATCTCTACTATTCTGGGGTCTCTATCATAACCCAGGTTTCATTTACACAGGTTCAAACAATAACTTTTAACTAATTCCTTGAAGAAAATCCAGCTCTAGCATATAGTTCCCTGACATTAACAACTTTCGGCAGCCATGAAGCTGGATTCCATGATGCTGTCAGTTTTAATTCTTTATTGCCTTCAAATCAATACCATGTGAGCAGTACTAACAGGTTTTGTTGGTTCTGGGACTACACCTTTATCAGCTTATCTGTGCTGACACTATGGTTACACTTTCCTATAACATTGCTTTCAGAGTCAGAGAATCCTACTGCGGTGGGATAATGCTCTTGTATACTATTAAGATTTGTCACTCATATTGTTTTATTAAAACACTGACTGGGTGGTAGCCAGGCAGGAGATATAGGTAAGACAACCAGAATAGGAGAATTCTGGGAAGAGGAAAGACAGAGAGATGCATTCCCCAGCCAGATGCAGAGGAAGCAAGATGGGAGTGCCTCACTGATGAAAGCTGCAGAACTGGTCAAGACAAAAGTCATCAAACACAAATGGTGATCAAATATTTGGCAAGAATTTGCACATAAAGCCTGAGAAATCTTTAAGAAAAGAAAAAAGATTCTAGACAGACAACAACAGAGTCAAGTGCAGCTTCTTAATAATCATCTTTTCTCTGATAGACTCTGCTTGATGGTTGCAACCAGAGGCTTGGCTTCTTGAAGAAAGACTTTCTGCCTCAGGCTTAGTGTAAAAAACCTTACAGCTCTTTTAAGAGGTGCTGCCACCAAGCACTTAAATGTTGTTTATGAGCATCTGGCATCAGGTCTGCCTGCTTCTGCCACCTGAGTGCTGGAATTAATGGTGTGCCCCACCACCACCCAGTTTAATAATATACTTTTGATTCAAAATATTTTGTTAGACTAGTTCCTTGTACAATGTTTCTAAATGGAGAGAGGCAATAATTTAGAGTGTTCTGAAATGTTTCATTTGTATATTCACTACAGTCATTCAAGGACTTGTATTTCTACTTAAAGATAAATGAACAGTTTGTATGTATTTATATATTTATCCTTATCCATGACTGATGATTCAGTGGTAGCTAACCAGTTGTGGTATTTTCTGGGGAAGACTTTTTCTCCCACTCTCAGTATTTCTTAGTCACCTGTGTGGGGTTGAAGATTTTTGGAGTTTACTCCATCCATATTGGTATGTTTATTGTTGTCCATGTTTAGGTAGTCATGTTGGTGAGACTTTCTGAATGTAATTTCTGACATTTTTAGGAGATACAATCTCATACCAAACTACCTGTGTTTCTGGGGGGAAAAATCAATCTAGTTTTGTTTTTCTAATTAGCTTCAAATATTCTGGCCCTCTTTCACAAGGATTTCTAAGCATCAGATTTGTATTTGATGGGCCTGAAAGGAGATTCTAGAACCACCACTTTACTCTGCTAGTGTCATCTCTAACAGCATTTGAAATATTTAAACTGATATCCACAGGCAAGAGTAGCCCTCAACAAGTAAACTTGTCTTTGTATTAGTGATCATTACAGACAACAAAAACCAATCAAAATACACACCCCTTAAATATATCTACAATACCACTCTTGAACCTAAGGATCATTCAGATATAATTTTATTCTTTGTAAGTTTTGGTCATAAAATGACATTGTTTTGGTTTAGTGATAATTAATTAAATTGGTTAACTGAGTTTCATGTTTATATGTAGACTGATACAATTTGATCTCCCATTTTTCTGGAGCAACAGAATTTTTATAAGCATTTATTTGTTTGGTGAATTGATCTCTTAGTTATCTTTGAAAGACATTATCTCACAAATTCTGGAAAAATAAAATATTTTATTTAATTTTTGGAAATTTTGTTTATTATCTTGAAAACATATTCTTTATCAATCCCAACTCTTCTTGGACATCTGCACCAGACTTCATGTTCTTTCTTACTAGAAAGTAGATTTTAAATTTACATATTATATCTGCCTTATTTTGAAATTCTGCAATGTACTATTAAATGCATATGAATTATGCCATTACTCTTTGGTGCTTTAGTTTATAATCCAGTGTTTGTCACTTAAACTAAATCCAATTTTTAAAAATCCACATTTTAAGTTTCTGTTTAAAATTATTACCTTTCTCCATATGTATTAAGTGTCAAATTCTATTTTTATATAATTTTAAGGTATTTATTATTTCACATAAGTTTCATATTTTATAAAGCTATCACATTTAAATGAATTATACATATAATATAGCCTATTAAATATATTTTATAATGTTTCTTGACTAATACTAACATAAAGATAATTGAAGCATGTGAATTTCCAAAGATTTATGGTTAGTCTGGGCTATATTTGAGAAAGAATCTTACTACATAGCACAGACTAGCCATATATGTGTGTGTGTGTGTGTGTGTGTGTGTAATTTGTTCTTTGGATTTATTGATAACATGTTGTAAATTATTAATTTTTACTCAACCTATTTTTTCTTTAAATTCTTCTTTTGATATTGTATACTCTTGTTTTAATTTCTATAATTATCTCCATTATCATAATTTTTAAGTGTGTTACTATGGAAAAATTTCTTATAGGCATTTTATTTTGCTCATTCTAGTTCTAATCTTAATATAGACTATTTTCGTTAGGAAATATAGTTATGCAGTACTTCAAAAATGTTCAATTTCTTTAATCTTAGTCATAAACATAGAAAAATCTTTGAGAATTTCATAGCATATATTTGATCATATCCAGCCTTGAATCTTTCCAGAACACCTTGAAGTTCCAACCATTACTTCACCCCTTGTACTTAATGTCCGCTTTTTAAAATTTATTCATGTGCTCATTAGAAGTTACCATCTTGCTGCAGAAGTATTGATGTTCTGGCTAAGAGAATCTTCCAGCCCATCTTCTCAGTGGTCCCTGAGTTTTATGTACAGGAGATGTATTATAAATGTATTACTTGAAGAGAGTTTGACCATAAATATTTATGTGTTTATTATCTCCTTCTAGTTTAATTAGGCATATGCAATTTGCTTGAAATATGTTGATTTTTTAAATTAATATACTTGGATATTCAATTCTTATATTTGAAACCCAATAGTAATGGCATATAGGTATTCATTTCTTAAACTGAAATACATTACCATACTTATTCAACTTTTTTTCTTTCGAACCCTTTACTATTGTTAAAGTCCAATCACTATATCAGTTTGTTTAGTTGTTAATGAATTTCGTTTTATTCCCCACTTTGGTTTTATTTTTCATTTATTTTTTTTATTTTTCATACCAACCCCAGTTCCCTCTCCCTAGCCTTCTCCAGTCCTCCAAATCCTCCCCATCCCACTCCCATCCCAACCCATCCCATTGACTCCTCAGAGTCCTCAGATGCAGGTAAAGCCTCCCTTGGGGAGTCATCAAAGTTTGGCATACCAAGTCGAGGTAGAAACAGCACCTTCCATCCCTGTATCAAGGCTGAGCAATGTTTCCCACCATAAGGAATGGGTTCCAGAAAAACAACTATATGCACCCGGGATAAATCCTGGACTCACCGCTAGGGTCCACCCCAAAAAGGTCAAGCCACACTATTGTCACCCACATTCAGAGAGCCTAGTTTGGTCCCATGCAGATTCCCCAGCTGTCAGTTCAGAGTTCATTATCTTCCACTGAGCTATCTCTGTGGTCTTCCCAATTAATCAAAATTTTGGAATTTTGAATTTTTATATGTATTTTTTATATTATAGTATTTTATACTAAGGATAACCTTATTATTCATAATATCCAAGGTAATTTAAAGATAATTTTGTATCTGAATTTACTCAAGTAAAATAATTATATCTTAGTATATCCTTTCTATCATTTAGTCCTCAATTCATTATTTATTGTGATTCATTTCTATGAAAGGCACACTGAATGTGTTCATTTATTGTATTTCACTGTAACATTTTTGTGTAAAAATTATTTTAGAAAAGAATGTGTTATGAGGCAAGACATTTTTTGATGTATCCCTAAATAGCATACTATAGGAAGAATGCTAGCCACACTCTGTCTGAGATACCTATTTAAAGGGCTTCATATGGCTATTTAGGATCCTTGCCACCCAAAGCTTCCACCCTTTCTCAGCATAATGGCAATTTCTTAACTTTTTCAAGGACATAATCAAT